CCCAGAGACTGAGAGGGGAGCGGACTGCGCCAGCAAGCGCGCCCGTTTGGGGGACTGACAACCTGCCAAGGTGATGCGGGCCCAGACGCTTGACCACCAGCTGATTGCTCGCAGGCGCGCCTCTGGCGGCTCAAGGCTGGTGCCTAGCGGAGGGGAGATACCAATTGGCCCCGTCATGCAGCGCCGCAATCGACTGGCCCGCATATAGAGAGGAGGTTCGGTTCTGGCACGCCAACGCAGCCAGGCCGAGGTAGAAGGAGCTGGTTGGTCAACACGGACGGTATGTCGACATGGGGGCCGTCGCAGTCGGTACGCGTTTTGTGTCGACGGTGTGCTCTTCGAGCCCAGCGGCACCGACCACATGCGGATCATCGTGCTGCTGGTGCCTGGGCGCGCCGTTCGCCGCAAGGCCCCCCGTCGGTCCAGCTCGGTGGCAGTGGCGAGGATGCTCGGGTCCTTTCCTTGGTCTCTAAGCTGTGGCTTCGCTGGACTGTGGTTGGGGGTCCGCTGTGTGCTGCGGTTGGGGCGCCCAGCAACGTGTCCTACGGACAATGAGGAGTGCTGTGGGCCCGCCAGAGCGGCCTTAGTGCGGGCGGGAGTCCCGCGGCCCGCTGATGGCAGCTTTACGTATCGGCCGTATCTTCGAGCATAGCGGTGTCGCAGCCCATCGGAGGCCAGGCTGGTGACACATTCAGGTGTGCTGGACCACATGGGCTGCAACCTCGAGTCTTTGCTGCGCCTAGTGACGGCATGCTACGATCCCAACAAGTACGAGCTCCACTATGTCAGGCCGCGCGGGTAGCTTCGGACAACTTGAGCGCACTCATACGAAGGTGAGAGGACGTGCTTTTCCTCTTTTCCTGTTAGGGTTGCTATGCTTGTCGATATTATGATGAAACTGCCTGACCTGCTTTCTGTTACAGTCAACCCGCATAGTAAGGATGGGCAATTTTCCCAAGGGTACCCTTTTATCCTTGCCCCTTCGGCCCATCCTTAGCGACGTTCGCTGGACAACCTCGTCCGAAAAACGTCAGCATCGCCTTTTAAGACCCTTGCATCCTTACCGCGCACGCTTACTACACGGGTTGACTGTAGCGTCGGCGTTGTCAGTGGACTTCACGATTCGGGTGCCACGACAGGCAGTGCGGTTTCTGCATCACGATCTTGGACACGCCCCTCCGCACCCTCGCAACGGGCCAGACGCCGCCCTCCACTTCGTTTTGGCCTTCGCCCAGGGACTGGCCACCCCATCATCAGCAGCCTCGGATGCGGGTGGGACCCACGCAGCACCGTGAGCACCAGTATTTTCCCAGCATTTTCTTTTGGGGGAGGGCAAAGGGAGAAATCTGAAATGCCGTTTCGATTGACTTTCGAGGTTTGAATATGCACAAGGTGAGTCACAAGACGGACTGACTTTCGAGGTGCAAAAGCCCACATGGATTTCACCCTGAGCCCTCCACCCTAAGAAAATGCTCAGAATTTGTTAAGCATCAGCGGCGCCCGGAAGCCTTACCCTGGCACGTTGGTGCTTGGCCTCCACGACGGAGCCCTTGACGTCGCCGCGCGGCCGGCCACGCCGTCCCGCGACGGTGTCTTCCGAGGGCCCGGCCGAGTCCGCGGCGAGGCAGGGATGCCACCCACCCCCCGCGTGCCCATGCCGCCAGGGGGAGGGAGTGAGCGCGCCGCCGGTGTCCCGAAGGCGTCGGCGTCGGGGCAGGCCCCCCCCCCCATCCCACTCCTTCGCTGCTTATACCTTCGAGGATCAGGAGGGAAAGAACACACAGACACAATTAGTCGTCGATCCCCAGGGAAATATAGGAAAATATGGGAAGTGGGGGGGCAAGACGAAAACCCAGAAATATATGAAAATATTGGGATTCCTCACATTTGTGTCGATTTATTGCGAGGGCCTTACGGCAGGTGCCGCCGACCCTGAAGGGGGGCGACAACGACGACGACGACGACGACGACGACGACGACGACGACGACGACGACGAGGACGACGACGACGACGACGACGACGACGACGACGACGACGACGACGACGACGACGACGACGACGACGACGACGGCGGCGGCGGCGGCGGTGGTGGCGGCGGCGCCGACGACGACGGCGGGAATCAATGATTTTTGCCTCTGTGGGCTCTCTTGGGAGTGCTCTTCGAGGCCTCTCGGGGCGTCTTCTAGCCTTCTTGGGCCGTGTGGAGGTCGTAAAGAGGTCTTGGACCGATCTTTCTGCGAGTCGGGGTCCTCTTGGACCGTCTTGGGGGCCTCTTGGGGTACTCTTGGCTCGTCTTGGGACTTTTTGGGGCCTCAGCACCCCCCGAGGGAGGGGTGGCATTCTGACCCGGGACCGCCCCAGGATCCCCCCCGGGACCTCCCCTTGGGACCACCACCCGGGACCCCTTCCCCCTGGCGGGGAAGGGATCAAAGGGATTGGGCTCAATTACGAGTTGCTCAATTTCGTTTTGGCTGGCGCGCTTGAGGAGGAGGAGGGACCAGGAACAGGGGAGAGCGGCGACGGGCCCAGGGAATGAGAGAGGGAGCGGCGACGGCGACGACGACGACGACGACGCCGACCAAGACGAGTCAAACGGAACAGCCTCTTCTACACGCCGGCAGGGTCGGCGGATCTGTGTGTCCCAGGGCCCCTTTGGAGGAGGGGGGAGGTGGAGGGGATGGTGGGCGGGCGCTGCCTCCTCCACGCCTCTATGATGGGCCGCGGGCGCCGCGGTTGGGGAAGCGCGACCGCACCTCGTGCGAACGCGTGTGGAGGAGGAGGAGGAGGAGGAGGAGGAGGAGGAGGAGGCGCCCTCCCTGATCCAGGGGGAGGGGGGGCAGGAACCGGACATCTTCCTGGGTTGATTGATGGATGGATCGATGGAGGTTTGAACCTCGCGGTGCTTGCCAGCATTTGCTCCTCGCCACGACCGTTCTGGGGGAGGGAGGGATCGTCCTGAGCGGCTGCTGGAGGCCAGAGTTGCGGCCCGAAAGCTTGACCCCCAGCGCACACGAGACACCAAGACGGACGTGTTTCGCCGCGTTCTGCCTCCTTAGGGCCCTCGCCGTGCCCTGGGACCGCCACAGGACTGCGTATAGTCGGCGGCGAGCGAGGGGGGGACGTGAGAAGAAGAAGGGCTTCCAGAAGCACTCGCGCCTCCTGAGAAGCTTTCTGTGTTTTCGGGGAGGGCTCGGGAATTCCGAGCCTTCTGAGAAGACCCGCTCCTTCTCACTTTCCCCCCTTGGCTCGCCGCCGATGATTATAGGGTGGGAACTTCTTGGAGGGGGGCCGTGCCGCGGAAGTCCGTCCCTCCTTTGGGGGGGGGGGGGGCAACAGCTGCCTCATGCCCGCCTCGCGCGCCGCTACCTCGGCGTCGGGCGGCGCTGGATGCTGGGCTGGGATGGACCTTTCCAGGGCGCCCCGGCGTGCTCCCAGAGCACTCGGGTCGGGAGCCTTGCGACGGGGTTCGTCACCACTTACCAAGCCGCCCCAACCCAACCCGAAGGCCTCGATTTGCTTTCCATTTCCGCTGTGGGGGGGGTCGGGGAACATTGAGAAAACACATGTGTAATCCGTACCCCCCCAACCCGAAATTCAGGTCTTCGGGTTGGGTTGGGGTGGTCTGGTAGGTAGTCAGTTCGATGCAGGGGGGGAGGCAATGGGGGAGGGCCGGGGCGGGAGGGAGGAGGACGAGGGTGGGGAGGGAGAGAGAGAGAGAGAGAGAGAAGACGGCACGGTGGCACGAGGAAGGATCGGTCCCCCCCCCTCCCCCGCGGCAAGGAGGTGGGCAGGCAGGAGTCCGAGAGGAAGCAGACCTGGCAGGCGTGCCGCCCAAGCCCTCCTGCTGCGCTCTCGCCGGCCAAGGTGGAGGGCCTGCGGCTACGTTTATGATGTTGCAACCTACTTTAGCCTTGATCACCAGAAGAATTTCGAGCACCAACAGAAATACCGAAACTCGAGGGTTCTCATGCGTCGGGTCCTGGGAGGCACTCGTCCGACACTGTTTCGGCACTCTTTCGACACTCTTTCGGCACTTTTCCGGGTGCTCAAAATTATTTTGGGATGTGGTCCGAAAGTACGATGGGAGCAATCGTGCGGCGTTCTCGGATCACCCTCGCCTGCCCTGAAGGCGTCGTGGTCTTTCTCGGTTGCAGAATAACGCCATCCTGGCCATTTTGGGAGCCACTGAGCTGTCTCTTGGAAGCAGTGCTCGCCGTCTCGGAGCGTGCCCCGAGCCAGGTTAGCCGCAACGGAAGCCACTTTGAATCGCCCGTTTTTTTCCGGGGGCGCTCTCGAGGTTGCTTGGGTTGACTGGGCGTTACTGTGGAGGCTGTCGGGTTCTGCGAGGCTGTCAGGAGCTGGAATAGGCAAGAACGCCAGCATCATTGAGCGGCATGGGCAAGATCGTTGACTAGCAGCACTCTGGTAGCCCTTCGAGCCCCTTGGGGGCGTCTTGGGGCTTCCTGGGGGCTCTTTTGGGTTTGCTTTTGGAGCTTTGTGGCAGCCTCTCGGAAGTTTCTTGGAGCATCCTGGAGCGTGTTGGGGTGGTAGAGTCGAAATGTCGGTTCACGTTCACGTTCTGGGCCATTGGGGGGTTTTTGTGGGGCCTTCTCGGGCCGTCTTGGAGGCCGCTTGGGCCGAGTTGGGCTCTTCCCAACTATCCTGTATTGAGTTGGGTTCTCGTGTTTGAAACACATTGCGCTGGGCGGCTTCCCTCCCTGCTCCTCGCCCTCCGCCTCCCATCCCTTCCCTCCGCCCTCCGCATGTCTCTGTTCCAGAAAAGCCCTCACACGTTTCGCTTCGTGGCCCCATAGGGAGCTCCACCTCAGGCCCCAGTGGTTGCGCCCGCATGCCGCCGCCACCAAAAGGTGGCGCACCTCTCACACGTTTCGTGGCCCCACAGGGAGCTCAACCTAAGGCCCCAGTGGTTGCGTCCGCATGCCGCCGCAACTCCCCTTTGGCGCGCCCCATTGTCGTTCCGTAGCCCCACAGGGAGCTC